AATAAGGTAGATTACAAATCCCAAAAGTGACAAGACTTTTTCTCTCTCTGAAGCTGCGCGGGGAGAGGAAAGAAAAAGTGTGCATCGGCGTTTTTCCGGTGGCCGGCGCGTCATAGCCAGAGCCGAGAGTTCTTTAGTGTATAAAGTTGTCGTTTTGTCTCTTGCTTGCCATGGGCCTTGCGGTGATGCTCGAAGAGGTTGAAGTTTTTGGGTTCGTTGAGGTTTTGAGATCTCAGATCTGGTTTTGTCGGTTCGTCGCCGGTAGTTCTTTCTTCGCTTGAGGTTCTCCAGCGGTTTTCGTCTTCTGATTTGTGTGTTTCCTAGCCTCTCGTCTTCTTTGGCTTCTCTTTCCTTGTTGTTTGCGTGGATGGTGGATGAAGAGATGGTGTTTGGAGCGGTGGCTTTGGGGAGGTATGGAATTGGTTGCGGCGACAGTTTGTGGTGGTCTTTGGGGTGGTTAGTTTGATATTTGTCTCTACTTTTGTTCCCGATTTCTTTTGGTTTAGTCGTTCTCCTGTAGGGTATTGGTTGTTGTTGTAGTGTTTGCGGTTATGGTCTCTTACTCTCCTTGGTTTAGTTGCTTATATCCAGTGTTAAGGCTTCGACTGGGACCGTTGATTCGTGTTATAGACAATCTTTGGGCCATTGATCTCTGGTGTTTAACTCGTTGCTTAACCAGAGGTTCATTGGCAAGGTATTGATCGGGTCATTTCTCCCCGGTATCACCCTATCTCAGTAAAAATAAGAGTGGGGCACGAGCTTTATGTTGGGACTAGGACTGTTATCTCTCCTTCAAGACTATTTTCGCTCGTTGGTTGTCTGCTGTTTTTGTTCTCGGATCAGTTGTCTTTTGGTCGTCGTTTCTTTCTTCTCGGATGTTAGCTTCTGAACTTTGATGTGGGTTTGTGTAAGTGTTAAACTAGTATTCTATCATATATTCTATCATGTATTCTACCTCGTATTTCACCTTGTATGCTACCTGGTAATCGACCTTGTATTTCACTAGTTTCTAATGAATTTTCAAATGACAAAAAAATAAATAATAAGGTAGATTAACTTTAGAGAAAGAGATAAAATCAAGGGCAAATGTCAAGTCTACTTATATTATCTTGATCTCAATGTCTTTATATACACAAGACAAAACAAACTGAGATCTGATCCTAAAAACATGGAAACGAAGTAATGCAATTGGGGCATCGATCTTCTTTCTCATGTTCGCCTTCAATAAGTAGCAATTAGAGTTGCCTGCATTTATGTCTTAGCGCGTACCTTTTGTCGCAACTAAAACAAAATGAAAAATTTGCAAAAATGCTACTTTTTATGTTTACATTTGCAAAAATGTCACTTTTTATGTACACATTTGCAAAAATACAACTTAGGGGTGTTCATTTGCAAAAATGCAACT